CTGATGTGTCAATATGCAAAATTTCCCATTCTTCTCCTTTTCCTCCATTATGAATTCTGTCTGCACCTACTAATTTTTCAGCATATTTGGTTGATTCTATGAATCGGGAACGTCCAGAACTCACCAATCGAGAGGTCCCTAGTAGTCCAGCTTGTTTATCATAATATAAAATGGGCAAGTTTAAAAATTAAAATTCAAAATACATGCATACAATTTATATTTTATCTTATAATTAGTCTAATTATTATCCCAAGTTTTTTCCAGTAAGAAATTTTGAGAGTAAACTTGTTACATTATTCTAAAAAATCTAACTTGATGATTTTAGTGTTCCAGTCAACTGGAATTTTAAATTTAGTTTTATTATCCAATCAGATTACTGTATTTCTTAAAATCTGGATTTTATCTTTGAGAATAAGGCCCCTGGATGCATAAATTAAATTTGCCACCACTTGGTATTTTGATAATAGGAACTATCCATGAAGTCTATTTGCAGACGTTGTTTTTAAAATCATCTTTCATCTGTTGTAATAATACTGGACTCAGTAAAACATCTAAACTTGTCATAGCTAAACCTTTAGCTACAGATAGAGTATAACCTTGGGCTGTCAACGAACCTGAAAAATATAGAATATAAGCCTGTAAGTTAAAAGACAAGAGAAATGACATGGGTTGGGGTAGGCTTAACTAATAGTTGTACAAAGAAACGAGAAACCTATCCTCAAATGTTTTTTGGTACTTGTGGGGGCACAGAGACATTTGAGAATATCTGGTAGTATCTTAATGGATTCATTATTTGTCATACTGAAAGTTCTCAAAAAATAGCGATTTAAAAATGGATCAGAGCATCTCTCATGATCACTGACATTTTATATTAAAAGAGCTTATATTACAGCTGAGGAACATTTAGGGTTAAATATGTTAGGCTAGGTGCTTGCTAGAGTCAGTCCAGTGTCCTATCATATACTCTTATCACAGGACAGGTTAAATATGTTAGGCTAGGTGCTTGCTGGAGTCAGTCCAGTGTCCTATCATATACTCTTATCACAGGACAGGTTAAATATGTTAGGCTAGGTGCTTGCTGGAGTCAGTCCAGTGTCCTATCATATACTCTTATCACAGGACAGGTTAAATATGTTAGGCTAGGTGCTTGCTAGAGTCAGTCCAGTGTCCTATCATATACTCTTATCACAGGACAGGTTAAAAGGCTAGGTGCTTGCTGGAGTCAGTCCACTGTCCTATCATATACTCTTATCACAGGACAGGTTAAATATGTTAGGCTAGGTGCTTGCTAGAGTCAGTCCAGTGTCCTATCATATACTCTTATCACAGGACAGGTTAAATATGTTAGGCTAGGTGCTTGCTGGAGTCAGTCCAGTGTCCTATCATATACTCTTATCACAGGACAGGTTAAATATGTTAGGCTAGGTGCTTGCTGGAGTCAGTCCACTGTCCTATCATATACTCTTATCACAGGACAGGTTAAATATGTTAGGCTAGGTGCTTGCTGGAGTCAGTCCAGTGTCCTATCATATACTCTTATCACAGGACAGGTTAAATATGTTAGGCTAGGTGCTTGCTGGAGTCAGTCCAGTGTCCTATCATATACTCTTATCACAGGACAGGTTAAATATGTTAGGCTAGGTGCTTGCTGGAGTCAGTCCAGTGTCCTATCATATACTCTTATCACAGGACAGGTTAAATATGTTAGACTAGGTGCTTGCTGGAGTCAGTCCAGTGTCCTATCATATACTCTTATCACAGGACAGGTTAAATATGTTAGGCTAGGTGCTTGCTAGAGTCAGTCACGTTATGGGACGACAGGTAGGTAGGGCTAGAAGTCCTAGACTATGTGCTTCCAAAAGTTGGCCCAAGGTTTTCACCCCCTAATGCCCAACTTACCAGAAGCTGTTGTAAATTCGTGGGTATGATTAACAGCAGTGGTACCGATATCAAATTTAGGATGAAGACTAGGCACTGTGTGTGAGACGTTCCCCATATCGGTTGATCCACCGTGTTTATTGACTATAGCAGGGTCTGTATCAAACTTCACTCCGACTTGGGTAGCGTTAGATTCAAACAGTGATGCCAACGTGTTATTAGAAAGGAGTGAAGAATAAGGTTTGTCTGAATATTTCGTTTCGACTAGGTAGTTGTTGATATCACAGACTAGGTAGTTGTTGATATCACAGACTAGGTAGTTGTTGATATCACAGACTAGGTAGTTGTTGATATCACAGACTAGGTAGTTGTTGGTAGATGAAAAATGAACGTCTACTTCCAGCACAAACTGATATCATTGACTAGGTATATCCAAAGGGATATACTCGTTTAAATATTAGGTTTTTCCAGAAGATGGAGCTTTATGTCAGCTGTCTAAATATTTATTTTACCAGCTGATAGATCTATATCTAATACATAACATTTCTCAAGATGAAAATTGATGCCATGTTCTCTTACAATGTAATACAAACACACTTCTTTAGTTTGGGCTATCAATTCCACAGTGAAATGAGATGATATGAATGGAGTTTTACATCCTATTTTTTCTGCAGCCAGGTCAAGGGCAGATAACAATGCTTTCCTAGTGTCACTGAATTGTACAGCCTGAAGAATATTCATTAATGCCCTTGTTACCTTTCATATTACAAGTAAATCAACATTTTCAATGTACTTTGACGTGGTCAGACAGCGTATGCTTATTTTTCTAGACACCTGATACCACTCTTCTTTATGAAATACTTACTCACTTGTGATTGATATACTTCTTCATATGAAAAGTTCTTAAGCTGCTATCATTGTCTCTCCAAACTGTTGAATTTCAAGTTTTTTCAATGGTTTTTATTAAAGAGATTGTAAAGAGATTTTCTAAAAATTTTATGTGTATTAGGGACACTGATAGCATCAATTTGCATCATTCTAATTTCCAATCAGTCGTCTGTGGTTCCTGAAATTCCTCTAAAACGAAGTGTTTATGACATCACTAATCGCTAAGTCCATATGTGATAAAGCATATTTTGCGATTAGTGACGTCACCAAACACTTAGTTTTAGTGAAATTGCAGAAAATGCAGTTTAGATCATTAGTACTGTTTTGTTTATTAGACAGTAGTTTGTATTAACTTACCGTACAGCCAGTGGCAGTAGCAGCAGCCTGGATACAAGCGTCTATTTTACTGTTTAAAACTGTTATCTCAGTGTTAGATGGTGCTCTAATATAATATAAGAGTTCAGTGTAATCTGGAATTATATTGGGTTTCTCTCCTCCTTTTGTTATTACACCTAAACAAAGAGACGAAGAAATTAGACATAAAAATATAATACCCAGAACATAGGTAAATTGTCTTTTGGCCTTCAGGTTTATTTAAAGGGACAGGTGTGCCATTTTGGGAGGTTTGATTTTCATCTTGAACATATATGAATAGTCTTGAGAAGTAGTAGAAATGTACGAAAATTGCATAATTCCTTTAAATATATATCAAACTAGGAATTTTACTCACTATTTCTATATATGTCTTTTCTATATATCACAGAGTATCTTAAATTGACGAGTCGTCATTTTAACATTCAAACATGGATAATTCTGGGCACACATATGGATTTGAAGGCTCCAATTTCGACGGCGGCCTATGAACACCATTACTACCATGTAGGCTTGCTCTCTCACGCTGTTACACAGAGATGAACTACATTGGTGATTGGATTCTGGTAACTAGGGCAACCGTGTAGTTTCGTTCGATGTCAACAGTCTAGTTGAAAACATCCTCAGAAATGGAGAATACAATGAAATTATAGGAATGAATACAGGGTTTGTAGCCTCAGTGGTCAGCACTGATAGAATAACTTTTATGGGGGACATACGCCATTTTTT